CTCTAGCAGAAAAAAATCATCCCAATCAGACCTAAATTTAAATTAATTAAACAATTTAGGCCACATTTCTAGGGAGAAGGATGACCATTAGATACCTTTTGGTAGCTATTAATTCAAATAGTGTGCTTTAGGCTGAAGGAGAAAGGGTTACTTTTTCTCCATCAGTCTTTTATCTCTTACTACCTTTAGATACCTATTTCAGCCCTAATGAATGAAGACACTGCTTCACACTGTTAACTGAAAGTCTCTGTATGTGAAGAAAAGGAAAAAAAACCCCACTTTCAGGCAACTTTTGGATCTTGAATCCCTTGGTTAATGTTTTGTAAAATAAGCATTAAATTTGATCAGATTTATTGTTTTTCTATTAGAAGTAGAATGTGGTATAACTCACATAAGTTTTATTTTTTAAGGTTTTGCTGGTGTAGAAATGACTATATCCTATGTATGTTGACGGTAACCTGTACCTGAAGCTGCATATTTGTCTGGGTGAGTTCTTCTGCTTTCTTTTCCAGTGACATCACCCAAACCTTCCTCTTCTGTCTGCACCGGGTGGCAGCTGCTCGATTTCGTTCCAAAAATTTCCTCCGTCTCTCGTCTGGGTCTTCATCCACCACTCTCCTTCGACGACCCCCTGTGGGCTGTGGTGGTTGTATGGTCTGTGTGGGTTGCATTTGTTGAGCTGCTGCTGATACCTAATAAGAATCATAATTGTTTTTAATTAAATAACCAGAAAAGGGATGACACTAGATGAACGGCAGAAAAAGATTAACAGCATTTTTTCCCCCTGAATACAGACATATTAGCAAAATAGTAGAAATTCATAGACTTCACAAGATACCCTTAAATTACTCTTTGACTAATGAGGCAGGAGATGGCCTTTTGGAATTGTGTGGGTGGAGGGAGCTGCTCCGTCTTATTAAAAATGTTTCAGTTCATTTCAGTGCAGCAAAAAAAGCATTCAATTCAAGTGTGAATCATTTCAGTTGCTCTGGCAGCTAGTATTAATCACAACATGGAAAGAGCCATGGGACCTTTAATTTTGTTCACAATTTAAAGTCATGCATTTCTCCTTTGCAACCTAGCCAACCTTGGTTGATTCCCAAAAAAGTTAAGCAGTGTTGGACCTAGTTAGTACTTAGATGGGAAATCACCAGGAAATCCCAAGATTGCATACTGACTGAGAGGCTAAAAAATTCCCCGAAAAAGGCATTTTCTTGAAATGGTTGCAAAAACAAAAAAACACACATGCATGTAGAGACCAGAAATCAAACCCAATTTTTAGCTTTTATTTTTCCTTTATACCGAACATAGGTTTTGCTTAGGTAGACAGTTATTGTAAGAGTACAGCCAATTTATTTGCTCTGTGTTAGGTATTTGAGTATGAAATAAATCTAAAACTGAAGCAGATTAAAAGCTGAGAATGAAATGAATAATTAAGAAGACTCTTTTCCCATTTATTTGGAGGAAAAGTGGGAATTAATTTATATAAAGTTGTTAAACATCAGTTGGTACATTCCTTTATGTGTGTGCTTTCTCAATGAAAGCATCTTAATCTCAGTTTATCTATGCCCATGTAGAATAAAATATATGGAAGAATTAATCAGATGTGGCCTTCTAGTTTAGTACAAGCAGCAAGGCGTTTGAGCAAACTATTCTCCAAATAGGATTTAAAATTGACAGGCCATCATGATGGATTCTTTACTACAGAGTTTTATTTTATTTTATTTTTGAAACAAAGGGGGTCTATTCTAAGTCTGGTTGCAGTCCCTGATAATAGACTTTAGTATATGATGGACAGACTTGTGGGATATTTATGCTATCTAATGAATGGTAGATAATGTTGGTGTTGTAATTAGAAAAAATATATAAATATCCATGTAGAACATCCATTTTTCATAACTATCCATAAATCCCAACCTCTGATGTGATTTATAGCGTCATATAAACTTTCATAAGCTGTTTAGCTTCCAGCTGTTGACAAACAGTAAATCATAATAACACCATGCTGAGCAACTAGACTGTGAATATGAGCTAAATAAATATCTGATAAACTGAGGAATCATGTTAAGATGCCAGGACTAAACTATGTGATAAAAATATTTACATGAACACTCCATTCCACACTTGAGCTCAGGTGTATAATCATGCTTGAAGGAGTGCATGATGGGTTCCCCACGTCTATCAATCATATTGGCATGGAAAGGTGATGTTGAGTAATGCCAGATGCTTTTTATATAAAATACTGCTGATATTTACCCACCTGAAATGTATAGGACTTAAAGGTCTATTTTAAATGTCAAGCCACATTTTCAAATATTTGTTTATATTTCTAGGGGCCAACATCTTTCTACTTTGTTACTTTAAATAAATTTATTTATTTAAAATAAATAGA